ATATATATTTACAAAATTCTAAAAAAAAAAACTAAATATAATATATATACATATATGTGTGTGTGTGTACAATCTAAAGAACTGTTTTAAAAAAAAATTAATATATTGATAAACTAAATTATAAAAATACAATAAAATTGTTCTTATATTAAAATAAAAACATATGAATAAACAAAAGAGAGGAGTGTAAGATTAATCAGGGGGATGCGGTCCAAACAAGGGGGTGCATAGAGGAAGATACCTCATGGGCTCAAAGGCCCAACCAAATAATGCAAACCCAACAATAACTTGTCACCAAAAGCATTGAAAATATCAGAAGCAACCAATATAGAGGTTTTGCATAAAGCACTATGAGGGATCTTCGTTGACTTCACCACCACCAACAAAACTTTATCCAAAATGGGTAATAGAAGAGAGGAGTGATACAATGCAAATCGTCTAACATCATTCAAAGATTCACAAACCTTGACCCAATTTTTTATTGAATCTAAATCTTCGATTAAACTTTGAATCTAAGCTTCAGGATCCGACATGGGTTTAAGGTTGTCGGATGAGATATAATCAATGATGGGTTCAGACGGGACTTGATTTTCGTCACTAGCAGTACGAGGTTGTTGTTGTTGCTGTTTGCGATTTGGAATAGGTTCTGAATTTGTTGAAGGGGTTTTAAGTGGAGGTGGTTATTGATCGAAGGAGGGAGTGGGTCGGATGGCGGTTCTGTTGGAAGAAGAAATCATAGCTGGGTTTTGTCATGACGGTTTTGTTGGATTTTTTTTTGCGATTGAGAGTTGGAGGTAGAAATGGGTTCGTGGTGAGAGAGGGTTTGAGTTTTCGAGCTGGGTTGATTCAGATTTGGAGGGTGAAGGTCGTGTTAATGGTGGTTTTCGGAAGAGGTTGAGTGAAGTTCGGTTGGAGGAGAATTGGTTTTGTGGGTGTTCTGGTTTTGGATGGTTAGACGGAAGAAGATGGTGGTTGTGAACGTAATGGGTTTTCGAGGGTTTGGGTTTTTTCTGCGGAAATGAAGGTGACAATGGTGGGGTTTTGTGTTTCGTGGTGATGAGCTGAAGAAGATGAGTCTGTTTAGGCTATGTTGGAAAGGGTTGTGTGAAGGCAAGATCGAGAAAGGAAGTTTCGAAGTTGGGAGTTTAATGGATGAAAGGGAAGGTTGAATGGTTGTGGAAGAATGATGATGAATAGGAGTAGTGAGAGGGAGTGGCGATAGCTGCGTTTTAGGGTTTCTGGACTGTCTCAAGGTTGGGGACAATGAATAGTGGATATATAGACAGAAATGCGACACGTGACAAGTGCTTTTGACTTGTTAATCCTGCCTGATTTAATTAAATGCTGATTAATTATACTCATTCCAACTCTAACAATATTCTAATTGCTAATTAATAAATAATAGACTAATCTAATCCTAATAATACTAATGACTTAAACTAATCTAATTAATCTAAATCCTAATACAAAATTCTAATTGATATTAAATAAATTTAATCTTAATTCTAATCTAACTAAAATCCCTAATAAAAAATAATCTCTTCTATTTCTAAAACCTAATAAAAATCTAATAATAATAAAACTCTATTTCTAGAAAAAAAATTGAAGTTCTATTTAAAAAGTCTATTTTTTTAATAAATCTTATTATTTTTTTTTAAAACTGTTTAATTCTAATCTTATTAAAAGCTCTATTTTCTATTAAAAACTAATAAAAGCTCTAAATTAAATCCTCTCTTAATCTAATTTCTAAATAAAAAAACTAGGTTCTAATTCTAATAACAAATTCTAAATCTATTCTAATAATTCTAAATAATTAAAAATCTATTTAAAATTCTAAAACTATTTCTAAACTATAATCTAATTTTTAATTCTAATAAAATTCTATTTTATATTAAAAACCATTTTCTAAAAAAATAAAAACATATTTCTAAGAAAACTAATAAAATTCTAACAAAACTATTTCCTATTTAAAAATTCTAAACTATTTAAAATAAAGCAAAAATAGCAATAAAAACACAAAATGTCATGGAAAAAGAAACGGAAAAACGGGCGAACACCGAAATGCGTCAAAATTACCAGCACAGACTGAATTGCCAAGAGGAGAACAACTTTCGCTCGATTTCGACATGGACCTTCTCATTTGAATTGATTTAAATCGCCTGAAATGCGAGCAAAGCGGCTAAAGTCCTGATAAATTCAATCCGGCCGATAACAATGGCAGAATGCAAGAAATGATCTACCTAAATGATATGCAGATGAAATACGAAGCAAAAGTCAGTCAAAGTTAGAAAAACTGGTGGGCAAATTTTAGGGTGCAACACATATTAAATTAAAATGTTTGGGTGAAATATTGAACTCTTGAAGAAGTATGAGAAACCTTCGAGTGAAGAGACTTTCGAGTAGGCTGAGTTATTTAGGTCTTTGGGACTTAGAAAATATTTCCAAATATTAAAGATGCCACCTTCGACCAAGGCTGCTGGCCAAGTATTAGTGGAATTTTGAAATTCAAATAAAGGAGGGAGTAATTATGTTTTCTCATGACTAAACAAGACAAGTGTCGTACATCCAACAAGGGACTACATGCGACATGACACTTGTCATGGGCTGGTCATTTTAGGAGGTTAATGACAGTTAATTTTACTATTATAAATAAGGGTTATAGCAATATAATTCAGTGTGTTGTAAATTACTATTTGTACAAGTCACTCCCAAAATTACTCAAAGTATCCGAGTGTAGAGAAACGAGTTCTAAGGAGAATGTACGTCTTGTAAACACACTCTCTTTACGTTTTAATGAAACTTAGTTTGTTTTGCTCAATGTTAAAGAGTTTATATTTACTTCCTTGCAATTTACATTTTTCATTCTGCTTTACTCTTTTTAAATGTTGTAAAGGCTATTTACTTTGTTTTCTACAAATTCACGTCTTTTCCTTTCAGTCGAATCTTACCTTTACATTAACTTTTTCTTCAAAAACACTGTCGAAGTGTTTAGTTTTAAGTAGTTTTTTTTTCAAATAGAATTTAACACATATCCTAGGATCAATCTGATCGATCCTGTGAGTCACCATAGTTAGATTTGGAAGATCAATGGTTGTTTTCCAATTTTCAAGGGAAACAACAGTCTCAAACAACCCCAGAAGTTCAAACTAGACAATCCCAAACGACCACTCCAGTTCTAACTGTCCAATCTCAACCAACCCAAAGAGTTCAAACGAGACTGTCAACATCATCTTTTAGAATCCAAACACGACAGTTCATCTCGGTGTCACAGTTGCTTGCTATGAGAAGAGGAAGACAGGCTGATACATCAGCATGTCAGCCACTAACAATAATGAAACCAAAGTTGGCTATTAGGAGAAAAACCAAATAGATTGTCTTTTTATGTATAATAATGTTATGTTCTGTTGACTTATAAAACAATCTTATGTAATATTTTGGGATTTGTTTGATCCATAACAATCTCATGTAATGTTTTGGGATCTGATCACTATTGACATATATTTTGGTTTTTAATATTATAACAATGCTTTAATTATGATTAGTTAATGTCATGTTCGGTAATCTATTCACATCTCATGTAATGTTTGGTAAGGTTTCATAAATGTTTGATATTCAAATTTGTTTGAGGTTCAAAATTGTGTAAAACAACATGTCTGATATTTTTTTGTTGTACAAGGTATTGGTAACACTCGAGTCCCATATATTTTTAAAATGTAACGAAGTGCTTCTAATTTTTCTGTTGTACAAGGTATACCAGAACTGTGTCAAATGTGGTAAGGAATTGCAGGTTTGTAAAACAAATTCTTAAGACTCATTTTGACTGGTCTACATGCTGAAACATAACTGTCTACAAATTATACTATAACTGTGGTATAGAGTTCTACATTAAAATACATCAACCCATAACTTACAAACATAAAACTACAAACATCAAAACTAACCATGATAATTAACCATGATTTCTACTTTTAAACCAAATTACACATAACACTGCAAAGATCAAAACCAACAACATAGTGACATAGCGTAGCATATTCAACATCTTCAACAAGTTCTCCTTGATCTCCTTAGTGTATTTCTCATCAATCAAACTTATAAGCAACTTGATTTCAACATCCTTGCCATCACAGTCAGAACATTTTAAACTTAGCGAGGATTGTGTCTCTTGTTTGACTTCATCACTATAATGGTTTTCATTCCACGTAAAAAACTTGTAACCGACATTTTCATCTTCACTCTGTTAATATTAACACACAAAAAAACAAAAACTAATTACATCGGCATAAACCAAATCCACAACCAACAATGTTTAATAACAGACGTACCACAAAGTATTTGCATTCCAAAATAGCTTTCCCAAGTTTCTTCCTTTCTTCCAGCTTGGGATGCACTCGATATGAATGTGTTAGCGTTCGAACATCTTCGATTTTGTCCACTGACACCATACGACGCCATTGATAGAGTAAGGAGATTTATGGTTTCAGAAAACTAAGAAAGGAGAGAGATTCCACATCAACAAAGCAACCCTCCATGATACTTCATCAACATTAACTGTCACTTCATCACTGTCTGTACCACATTGATTTTTTTGAAACAGAAAATCTTAAAAGGGTTAACAATGTAAATATTAGTTAATTTAAAAGACTAAAGTGCTAAAAAAAACTAATAGAATTAACTTATAATTAAACTTTAGTATAGTACAAAGAAGAAAATAGTTAAAAGAAAAAAAACAAGTAAAAGAAGAGAGAGAATAGAAACTGAGAAAGAGATTTACAAGTTTAGGCTTCGATACAGATACGGTCCCATCCCTGTCTTTCCCTTTTCTGATTTTCTCTCTCTAAAAACCTCTCACTCTTTCTCTCTCTAAAAACCTCTTTCTCTTTGTTTCAATCTCAGTTACCTTTTCGATCCGTTTCTCTCTTCACAATCTCTTCGATTCGTACAATGTTACAACACACAATCCCTAACTCGTTCTTAACTCATTCACTATCCTTTTTCCGATGATCATGGAACTCACCGAATCCTCCGCGGCTAACCTCAACAACCTCCCGCTTCCGCCGCCGCAACCTCCGCAGAATCACCACAACGACAACAACCTCCAAGATACTCGTTCAATCCTATGCATCGACCTAAATGAGATCCCTTCACCTTCTTCCTCATTCCCCGAAACCCTACCCGACTTAACCATCGACATCGTTCGTACCTACCACGAAAATCCAGCGCCACCTCCCGGTGGCCCTGCAGCTCTTCCTGGTGGTAGTACTTCATGTGCCGTCTGTGCTAAGTCCGGCGGCGGAGGCGGAGGTGGTAATTGCTTAGTCTGTGACGGCTGTGAGCGGAGTTTTCACTTGGCTTGCGCCGGGATTCGTGGTGGCGGTGTTCGACAGGTGGCTGCGAGTATAGGAGAGTGGGTTTGCGGTGAGTGTTTGGCTGGTGGTGTGAAGAGTAAACGGTGGCCGTTGGGTGTGAAGTCGAAGCAGCTTCTTGATATCAATGCTTCTCCGCCTAGTGATGTTGATGGCGAAGAGTTGCATGATGCGAGGTATGGAAAACTCATGCACTCTTGTAGTTTTTTGTTAGTGTCTGAATGTTAAACCCTTTTACATGTTTTGCTTTTCTTTCTTCTTTCAGTATGATTTGAATTTGGATATATATAAGTAATGTTAGTTTGTTATTATCATTCATAGAATTAAGATGTTTTGAGATGGGAGAATGTATGTGGATGTATTAATGTGTTATTGTATGAAATAACTTTGGTGAGAATTTAGGAATCTAGGGCAGTTTGACTGGTAAAATGGGCAAGTGTGATTTTTTCTTCTTCTTACCATCCATGCTCACATGCATTCCCTTGTTAGTAGTCAACTTTGAGGAAGTCTCTCTGAGATAGATGACATTCTTTTTGGATGTAGATTATAGAACAATGTTAGCCATTGGGTAGCGAAGCGGGAGTAGGTTCCTAATGAAGAATCAAATTGAATCTGTCTCGATGTAATCACATCCGTCCTTGTTGAGACTAAAACCAATGCCAGCTGAGCTATAATAGTCTTTTTTGATAATAATTACTTAGTTGCCTCCACATTTTCAAATATTTGTTTCTATATAAGTTTTTGTCCCATTTTAAAAAATATTTTCATTTAAATGCAACCCGAGAGTTAGACTGCGCCGTGATCACAGCTACGTGTCATTACGGAGGTCTATGCTACGTCATATTACGTTTCGATGTTGCTGGCATCGCGTCTGCTATTGTGGTAGTTAGCCCGTTTCTGTGCTTGAAAACCCAGAAATACCCTTAAATGTTAGGGTTTCAGAGGTAGGTATGGGTTAGTTTAGGATTTTCGTTCTAGAAAACTAGGGTTTTAACTGAGAACACCCTTATCTCAGTTTGTAAGTGCCTCTTGTCAATTGTATTCCACAGCTATTCGACCTTCGAGCTTTCCAATGACTTTCTAGTTACTGTGCTATCCAGCTACTTTTATCTCTCTTTCTCTGTTGGTAAGCTGTCCAACAGGTTTTTATGTATCATCATTTTTTGAAGCTTAAAATTGTTTGTTGCTTTGACTTCTGCGATTTTTAACTTTTATGTTTAAGATCTATAACTTGTTATTGTTCTTTAAGACTATTCGGGACTAATGACCTAAGACCTTGAATGCAATCAAATGAGTTTTCTAGTGTAACTTCTTTCTTCTTTTGAAGGCAGTAAATATCAAATCAAATGCACCTCTAGATTTGATTTTTTGCCCTCCTTGTTGTAATGTTTGTAGGCTAATGTGATGAGTTTAGAGTAGAATTTTACCATGTTATTTCGTTCTTTTGAAATCAAAAGAGAATTGGTGTGAAGAATAAAATTACAGTTTGGGGGACTTTTCGTGGATTTTGAAGGGTTTATTTTGATTGCGGAATTGGCATTGTAGTTCATATTTTTATTAGAAATGGAATCGGTTTAAGACTTCAGAATCACAAATTTTATATGTGGGTTGTGCAAAGAAGTAGGGTAGAAAGTTTTGGATACTTAATGATGGATTAATGAGCCATTATTTCATAGTCCAAAGTGGTTTTCTCTTTTCATATCCATAATGGAATGATGGATTAATGAGCCATTATTTCCACTGTTGACGAGGCAAGAGAGTGCTCCACTGTAAGCGAGTTAAGTGCTATGCCAACCAGATTGACACGTGGCTCGCTGCTAAACTGTCTCTTTTGCTACTGGTTATTCTGGAAAGTGATTTGCTGCTGGTGAGTAGTAAGGCTCTTTTTGACCAGCCACAGGAAGTTTTGTGGCACGTGATAGAAGACCTTGGGGAAAATGGGTGGAAGAGATTTAATATTCTGTGATATATGAGTGAGACTCTAGTTGGGTGCCTACGACACCACTGCAGCAGCAACCGCCTTGATGTATGGAAATGGCACAGTTAATCTTTCTAGTCCCAGCGCACTAGTAAAGTTAGTTTTTCTGCCAATAAAGGTGAAGTTACTCTAAAGAAGCATAAGAGACAGCACATCTTTTGTTTTTTTGTGTTGCACACAGTTTCAATAACTTGGAATTGACAATCTTTAGGGTGTTGGTTAAGAATTCCAAAGTTCCAAGGGTAGGTATTCTGTAACACCACGGAGTTGTTGTTTGAAATTATGGTTCAAGCTCTAAAAGGATACTCAAACAGAAATCAAAATCGGAATTATAGGCACAGTATCAATTCCAATTTCTAAGTTCTGATTTCATACTCAATTCCAGATACCTTATATGGATTTAGGGTTCTTCTAAAAATGTGGAATTTATTTTAGGCTGAGTTTTCACTTTGATTTGGAAAGTCTAAGACCTTCTTTTTATAGTTTTTTTTTTGTTTTGTTTGTAAAAAGGGCTATTGCCGGAACTGGCACTGTGCCTTTCTGTATCAGATAAAATCCTACCACATGATCACTACTCAATGTTGCCTTCAACAACAACAACCAAGCTTTATCCATTAAGTGGGCCATTTAGCCTTCAATAACAAGTAATTTGCAATATGGCACTTGACTAGCTGTGTCCACTTCCAATTCTTTTAAGTGTAAATTAACTAATATTATCTACTTACGTATCTTTTAACAGGCTTGCCAAGTGGCTTGCACTTTTCCTCTTTCAAATTACTCAACACATTTCAAACAAACTTCATATGTTCCCAGTTATTAGATTGTAACTCTGAGATGATTTCAGCATAGCATTATTAAGCATGCATGTCATACTACTGATGTTCTTGATGTTTGACCTGTTACTTGCTAAGTTTTGTTAAACACTGGAATGCTTTGTTTAGCTTGATTGCCAATTGACGATTTTTGGTTTACTTTGTATTATTATAAGCTTGAAACTGGTTCCGTCTGTCTCTTTTCATTTGTTAAGGTGATAATTTAAGTTTCATGATTCCCAGTTGTTATAAGTAGTTACTGTTTACATTCACTTTGGTTTTAGAAAGCACACGATGGGTGATAAATCTTTTGGTACCAATCAATTTGGTGATCCAGTGACATATTCAACCTTCTACAATGGGAGTGTGTTTGGCTTGCAAAGGGCTTCTGGAGTCATGACACATGCTGTTAGAGTGGGTTTTGAGGAAATATTGAATCACACCCAAGCAATGGCTAGAAGCTTTGAGGAAGTACCATCTCAGACTCAGAGTCCAAATGAGTCAATTTTGCTGGCACTTAGAGATTTTATATCTGAAAGGCATGGCGTACTGGAGGAAGGTTGGCGAGTGGAACTCCGACAATCAATGATCAGCCCTGACCTGTATGCAGTTTATTGTGCCCCCGATGGAAAGATATTTGATTCTGTGTATGAAGTAGCTAATTATCTGGGGCTACCGTCTGGCTACAATTCCATGGAATCTGAAATAAAAAATGAAATGTCTCTTTCTTTAGGTGGGCCTCACATATCCAGAAAACGAAAGTCTTCTAGAACTCTGGCAGCCAATGGTTATGCAGAAAAGCAGGGAGCCATGATCAATAGTAATTATAAGGATTGTTCTTCTGATGGTTTAATTATGGAATGTGCTAATGTTCAGGGGACTATCCCAAAAGCCACTGAGATTGGAAGAAAAGAGAACAGTCACACCGACCCTGATCAATCCGCTGTAAGTGAATCTAATTGATATATCCTCTTGTTTTGTTGTGGAAATTGTTTGGTTTTGTTTTTTCACACTAATGCATAATGTTCATGAATTCTTATAGTGAAAGTAAAATTAGCCATTCCTGCCTGATTTTTTTGTTTTATATATTTCAGGATGGACTTCCTCTGCAGTTTCAGGACTTCTATGTTATTTCCTTTGGAAAAGTTGATGGGAGATCTTCATATTATGATGTTAACCTTACCTTTCCTGTGGGTTATAAATCTTCCTGGCATGACAAGATTACTGGCTCTCTTTTTACGTGTGAAGTTTTGGACGGTGGTGATTCTGGACCTATATTTAGGATTAAAAGGTGTTCATGTTCAGAATTTCCTATTCCAGATGGGTCAACCATCCTTTCAATGCAAAGTCATTGTCAATTTGTAAGCGAAACCAATGAAGGTCAGAGAGAGACTAATGATAGTATGGATTTTGATGGTGACGAGAGTATCCAAATGATCCTTTTCGAACCTTGTGCCCCAACAGAAAACGACATCTTAAGTTGTGTTGCCAGTTCCTCAAATGAAGCATATGCATCAGAAGGATTAAGGCCAGTTGCTGGTTCAGTTAAAGATAATATTGGAAATTCATTTGCTGATAATATAGATTTTGGTGATGAAATTGGTGAAGTTTTGGTTGAAGAGCGGTCCCCATTCTCAGCATGGCAACTTATTTCTCAAAAGTTAGTCAGTGCTTGCAAGGATATCTGCAAGAAGAAAGGAACTCTTAAATTATTTTGTAAACATGTTGAAAGTGAGACGGGCTTACATAAATGGGGTTTAAGGAATGGAAAAAGGGATACCCACTTCCCTTCGTTGGATAAGTTTTGTGGTTATCCTGGGTTTGTCAGCATTCCAGATACACTGTATGCAGACAGTGATCTGACAGGTCTCTATGAGCTGTTAGGAAAATGGTTGGAGCAGGATAGATTTGGATTAGATGTTGAATTTGTGCAAGAAGTATTGGAACAGCTTCCTGGCGTGCAGGATTCTTTGCAATATGAACTTTTGAGTAGTAGAACTAATAGCTCTTCATTACCAACAGTGGAAAATGGTTTCCTAGTGGTCGAGTGTAAAGATCAATCAAAATTTCAAGATGAAGCAGTAGCTGTTCAAGGTTTATATAGAAGGCCTAAGAAGGCAAGATTGACTGAAGATTTTGTTAAGGAAGACCAATGTCCACCTCCTGGGAAACCACTGTGCTCTAGGGCTCCCACTGAACTCATTGGTGACATTTTTGAGGTATATATAAACTTGTATGTAGTGAAACTCGTATCTTTATTTTACATTTGCATTCTTTGTTTTTATTTTCAATTGCTATGATGCACAGTCCTGCATTTTTTTTGTTTCTGTGTTTCAGGTTTGGGAGCATTTGGATCGATTTCATGAAATTCTAGACCTGAAAGAACCATTGTTATTGGAGGAGCTTGAGAAGGAACTTATCAACCCATGGTTTGATGAATTAGAGTTCCCTGAGAAATTGGAGAGGGGAATGGGTAGACATCAAGTTTTATGTTCACAAGGGGGTAATGATGATTGCCGACTAATAAGTGAAGCTGGTCCATCAGGTTCCACAGAAAGTTCTTTTATTCATGTGGAAACAGAAGCTATGAAAGAGGAAGCCCAAGTTAAGCTTGCATCTTTCACCTATGTCAGATGCTTTGGTGTAGCATTGACCAAGGCCCATAATTCATTACTAAGAGTGCTAATAAGTGAACTGCAATCAAAGGTGGCTGCTCTGGTGGATCCAAATTCTGAACCTGGAGAGACTCGGGGTAGACGAGGAAAAAGGAAAGATATAGATAGTGCATTTCCTGCCAAACGAACTAAAGTCAATATGCTTCCTATTAATGAATTGACATGGCCAGAACTAGCTCGTAGATATATCTTGGCTTTCTTATCAATGGATGGTAATCTCGAGTCTGCGGAAATTACTGCCCGTGAAAGTGGTAAAGTATTTCGTTGCTTACGAGGTGATGGTGGTTTGCTGTGTGGGTCCCTTACTGGTGTGGCTGGGATGGAAGCTGATGCACTGGTAAGAGCTTAGATTTGTCTTAAGACATGATGGACAAATTTAATCTTAACCTTGTCTAATATGATTTGATGCTCTCTCTCTATTCACAGTGCTAATATATGGGTCTTGATCTAAATTAATTTGTCATTACAACTCAATTCATTATTCTTAAGCAAACACGATGTTCATAAAATGCTTGTCAAAATATTTTACTGTCTGAGTTTCTCACTCTCACTTTTCCTTATATGAACTGGCACATGTGATGGACCGGTATAGGCATTTTAACTAGTTTTAGCTCTGCTCACTTCAGGTTTGAGTGGTACGGCTTGAATGCAGGTTTCATATTGCTATTCGATTTCTGGAAGTATCTTCCCTGTGTTATACGTTGCCTTTAGATTTTATGCCTTGCGGCTGTTTGAACTTTTCTAGACTATAAGTATTTAAACTGAAGGTGATAGAAGTAGCACTGAAGTATTTTTTTCTTTTTTATATTTAAAACTTTGCTCTCAGTTGCTTGCGGAGGCAACAACGAAGATTTTTGGTTCCTTGAGCAGAGAAAATGATGTACTCATCATGGAAGAAGATGAGTCTGATGCAAAGGATGCTTCTGAAATGAAATTGGCGAATGATGGTAAAATTCCTGAATGGGCACAGGTGCTTGAACCTGTCAGAAAGCTACCAACAAATGTGGGAACCCGAATCAGAAAGTGTGTTAATGATGCTTTAGATAAGAATCCGCCAGATTGGGCGAGGAAAATACTGGAACACTCAATTAGTAAGGCCGTCTACAAGGGCAATGCATCTGGACCAACAAAGGTGCTCTTCAGTGTCACTTCTCTTTTATTGTAGTATTTCATTTATTTTGTGGGTGCATGTACATAGAAATGATTAAGACTAGTGTGAGTTTGTGAAACTCCTATTTTTGCTCCCTGGTTGCGATGATGACATGGTATCACATATATTTGCCTTGCATATTACTCCCTCTGTCCCAAATTATAAGTCACTTTGCAATTCGAATGCAACGATAATGATATTTTTCCTAATATACCCACTATCATTTATTACTATTTGTTCTTTTAATTTCTCTTTCATACGTAATAAATGAGGGACAAGCGATCTTGTAATTTGTAACTTTCACTCCACATGCATTCGGGAAAACCCTGTAAGGTATTTTGTATTACCCCTTTTGTTGTCACCTATTACAATATCAAGATATCGTGATACACACACATGGTATCTAATGGAGTTATGGAAGTGTTTGAGAAGTTTTTACCATATGGTTAGTCAACACACATATTTCTTCCCTGTCATTACAGAAATTCAGTCTCATACTTCAAACTGTTCGCAGATCATCAAATGTATACTGACAAAACTAAAAGCTTCATGTTATTCTCTATATTACAGTGTGATAGATCATGTGGTTGAAATTATATGTTCTTAATTGCATGGTTTTTTAATGAAGCACGACCCTGAGTTGGATATCCTTGTTGTTTATAAACAGAAAGCAGTTCTTTCAGTGTTGAAGGAGGTAACTGATGGAGGGCAGCCAGATACCAACAAGGAAAGGAAAAAGAAGATTGTTATATCTATTTCTGACATTATTATGAAGCAATGCCGCATTGTATTACGCCGTGCAGCTGCGGCAGATGATTCAAAAGTTTTTTGCAATTTATTGGGAAGAAAATTAGTAAATTCAACTGATAATGATGATGAGGGGCTTCTTGGATCTCCTGCTATGGTGGCCCGTCCTCTTGATTTCCGAACTATTGATCTAAGATTGGCTTCTGGAGCTTATGGTGGATCTCATGAAGCTTTTCTCGAGGATGTTCGTGAGGTATGCGTTCTATCAAACTAAGGCTGCCTAAACAAGCAGTCTGCTAAATATTTTCTTTAGATTACTCTTCCCTTTTAAGCTCCAAATTCTCTCTGCTATTATGGTATGTTTTTTCCCTCTTTGTAAAGGCTATTTTTATAGTGTTTTTATGTTTGCTTGTGTCCCATTTGAGTACATGGCTGAAAACATTGTTTTTTTCAAAACTCAATTACTGGCCTCTAATATGTTTTCTGCTAGATGCAAGTCACTCTTACAGTATATATTACTTTTGGACTCTTGGAGGACACTAAAATGTATGTTTGATGTCGCAGCTGTGGAGCAATGTTCGCGTTGCTTTTGGGGATCAACCGGATTTAGTTGAACTTGCGGAAACGTTATCCCAGAATTTTGAACTTTTATACGATGAGGAGGTTGGTAGCTTGATGGTGCACATATAATCATTATCCTTCTCTCAATTATTAATTTAAACATTTACATGTCTTGCTTGTGTACAGGTTGTCACCTATGTCCAAAAGTTTGCAGAGTATGCTAAAGTGGGATGCTTGAGTGCAGAAATGAAAAAAGAAGTTGATGTTTTCATTGCATCAACAAATGATATTCCAAAGGCCCCTTGGGATGAGGGAGTTTGTAAAGTATGTGGCGTTGATAGGGACGATGACAGTGTTCTACTATGTGATACTTGTGATGCTGAGTATCATAAATATTGCTTGAATCCTCCACTTGCAAGGATCCCTGAAGGAAATTGGTACTGTCCATCTTGTATTGGTGGTAAACATTCAGCACAAGATGTCACAGAACCTGCAAAGATTACTGGAAAACGTAGTAGTAAAAAATTCCAGGGAGAAGTTATCTGTCTTTATTTGGAAGCACTAACTCATTTATCGGCTGTAATGGAAGAAAAAGAATATTGGGAGTACAGTGTGGGAGAGGTTTGTTGATGGACACCTATTTATGTTTCCTTATACTTTCACTCGGCTAATGCATATAAACTTTTTTTATTATACTGGCAGTATGGTCTTCTATTCTGTACTGGATCTTTGTTATATATTCCTACATACGTGCTACTACAGTTTTTTCTTTTGGTAATGGGAAACTGCTGTGAATCTTAACAGGATTGCTTTAGTCATATATTTATTGTCCATTGACTTTTCCAATGACTGGTTTTCATATCCTGATTCCCTTCGGTACAGAGCATCCTTTTTATCTATAATGGTTTTCCATCATCAAATATTGCTTACTAAGCAAAAACTCATTTTTTAGTTGAGCTATTGACTACTATTATCTAGTTGAAAATTTTCTGTTGCATGCAACTTTAATGATGGCATGTTGCTCATACTGCACCTTCTCTTTTGGTATTTGCTAATGCTTTTTTAATGGTTGCAGAGAACGCTCCTTCTCAAGTTTTTATGCGGCGAGTTGCTCAGCTCTTCTCTGATACGACAGCATCTTGAGCAGTGTGCAGAGTCATCTGTTGAGTTACATCAGAAATTGCGTGCACTTTCTGTGGAGTGGAAAAACCTGAAAATTAAGGAAGATGTTTTATCCACAAAAGCTGCAAAATTTGATTTGTTGTCACAAAGTACCAACGGGGAAGTTGGTCTTAAGGACGGGTTCACATCTTTGTTCTCAAATACAAGTAAATGTCTTTTTAAGCCACACACTGCAACCACCAATCCTAATGGTCTTAGGGTATTTGTTGATAGTCTACCTTCAGAAGAGATTCCTAAAGAGAAGTCTAAGTTCAATAGTATTGATAAAAGCATATCCGCAACACATTCAGATTCTGATAGCCAAAATATGAATTCCATAGAAGGTCAACTTAGGACTGTTCCTGTGGTTCTGGAGTCTCCATGTACAGATAAATCCCCCAAATATTTTCCATCCCCAAATCATATGCCTCAAGGAATAAATGGTTTCAGTGGAGCAACTCATATTCAGGGTATCCACCAGAAATGTGAGGCAAGGGATGTATCTACTTCTGCGTCATACCAGCAACAGGGACAATGTGTGCCTTTTGAAGTTTCCCAAAATGCCGTGAATGAGTTGGAACCATACCACCATGAGCTCAATACCGTCAAGCATAATATTTCGCTACTTCAGGACTCTATAACTAGCATAGGATCACAGCTCTCGAAGGTCCCTGTTCGCCGGGAATTTTTAGGTATTGATTCCATTGGTCGACTATACTGGGCTTTGGGTACACCCAGTGAACGTTCACGTATAGTTGTTGATGCAAGTGCTGTTTTTCAGCACACAAAAGGATTGTCAGTTAGCAAGGATTTTGTCGATAAGTTTTCTGCTCTGCAGCATTGGGCGTTATCTGAGAAGGATAACTATAAGATGTTAGGACTGATCAAGGACTGCTCTCGTTTGAGTTTGCAACCACTTAATGCTTCAGGCAATAGTTCACCGTGGATTGCTTATGAAACTGATTCAGAAATCGAAGAGCTATTGGGTTGGTTAACAGATAATGATCCTAAAGAAAAAGAGCTGAGAGATTCCATTATGCTAGCGCCAAAACATAAACTTCAAGAGTTTGTTAATGCAAATACTGAGTGTCAGGTTGATGACCAAGGGCCTAGAAATACACCATCTAATTCTCTTGTTGCAAAGGCCACTTCCTTGCTAGAAAAGAATTACGGTCCCCACTTTGAGTTGGATAATGCTGAGGTAGTGAAGAAGCAAAGTAAAAAGAACAGAACAACTACTGATGAAAAGCTGTGTAGGTGTGAATGCCTAGAACCCATATGGCCTTTTAGGAAACATTGCTTGTATTGCCACAAAACCTTTTTGACTGATGTTGAATTTGAGGTACACAATGATGGCAAATGTAATGCAGGACTTCTGGCCTTGGAGACGAATAAAGATAAAAATGGGTCTTCTAAAGGAAGAGGGAACTTGAAATGTGATACCTCACATGAAAAATCCAGAGCTTATGCAGAAACAGCTGGAACCTCAATCAATAAATGTTCCAAGCTAAATTTGAATTTGATTAAATTTTCAAATGAAGGTTCCTCTTGCCCATTTGATTTTGAAGATATATGCTCAAAGTTTGTGACAGATGATTCCAACAAGAAACTTGTCAGAGAAATTGGTCTTATTGGTTCAGATGGTGTCCCATCATTTGTTCCTTCCATATCTCCTTTTCTTAGTGATTTTATGCCATTCTTATCCCTAAAGGGCGATGACATTGTTGGTGGTGTCTCTAAAGCTTCAGAAAACTGGGTTTCTCAGGAAAACACTGATGGTGCTGGCATATGCCATGACAATAAATCAGGAAAATCCACTCAGAGTTTAGCTGCAAATGAGAGCAATGGAACAGGAAAATCCAGTAAATTAGGAGAACAAAGAGTTGGAAAGTTATCATTTTGTAATCCGGCTTCAGATATGGGAGTCTATGGCTGCTGCGTGGTTCCTTCGTCGTCCTTGAGACCACTAGTTGGTAAAGTTTCTCATATCTTGAGGCAACTGAAGATTAATCTACTTGATATGGATGCTGCACTTCCTGAAGTTGCTCTAAGACCATCAAAGGCACAGTTGGACAGAAGACAGGCTTGGCGTGCATTTGTTAAATCTGCTGAGACTATTTATGAGGTTTGTCTAATCTGACTCTGAATTGTGTATTTCTCCATTAACGGGCTTTCAGCCACTTCAAAGCCACGCGTGATACATTGCATTCCTTAGAGTTTCAATACTTTAGCACAGCTTGCTGAGTACTTTGTTGACTAATTAACTTCCCATTGAACATTTACTTCAAATCAACAAGTAGATGTTTTATGTGTACTTGAACTTGAACTCTTATTATGCTATTTTTCTAATCCAAGTAAATCACAGATTAAACTAATATTGCGAATGTTGATTGAAGTTTATTCTGATTTCTCAGATGATTCAGGCAACAATTGCACTGGAGGATATGATTAAGACGGAGTTCTTAAGGAATGACTGGTGGTACTGGTCATCATTCTCAGCTGCTGCCAAATCTTCTACTTTGCCTTCCCTTGCTCTTCGAATATACTCTCTTGATTCAGCCATTATGTATGAGAAAATGCCCAATTCAAGTTTAACTGACAGCTCTGATCCTCCTGCCGTAGCAGAACACAAACTGGCGATCACCGTGGATGCAGATAAAACCAAAGCAAGCCGGAAGTCAAACAGGAAAAGAAAGGAATCGGATGGTTAATCTCATACTGTATTCTTGCCTGAGAAAATCAGAAAGCTGGTCCACTTTTTGTGGTCTGATATGGCCATCGAAGGTTGCATGAGTTTGGATGAAAAGGTCATGGGGCCAACCTCGGGTTATTAAAGGGCGAAGCTGCAGTGCTGGTGTCATTTGCGCGCTTCTTGTACATATAGGTAAAGCTGACCTGCTAACTTGAATTCTCGTTTTTGGCTATATGTAGAATATGTAGGATTACCCACTTTCAGAGGGCACCAGTATGAAGGAATTATGACAATGCGTCCAATTTTGAAATGGTTTTTGCTGCAGCTGTCCAATTGGTTGCTCCATACCAAGAAGTGTTATATTATATTTTTTATTTTACTAGCAGATTATGATCCATAAATGTATACAAATGGAATTAATGTAAAGAAGGAATAGAAGAAAAGAAGCTAAAAAAAAAGTTGGAAGTCGGAGCAGTTGTAGGCAATATTTCATTCTTTATACATTCTCTCTTACCCCCAAAAAAGTCCTGCACACGCACGCCCTTGATTGTCTTGGGCATTGCTGATGTGTTAGAATGCAGGGGAAATTTTAGTGTCAATGCATTTTTCCATCCGCTTTTTTGGACTAACTTAGCTCATGCGAAGTTTTGTTTGATTTCTTTATGTGTATATGTTTCTATAATTCTGCTCTCTTCTTGGTCGCGGGGTATAATTCTTCTCCCTGCTTCTGATAAGCTATTTTAACAGCATGCTTATATTTTTTGGCACCTATCAAAGGGCTGAATGTAAGTTGGACAAAACTATTTTGATTTCTGGGGTGTAGGTTGTATGGTTTCTTTAAGCTTTCTCAGTTTTTAACTAGTTCATTAGAAATGCTATGGGAGTTATATATGTTATGCAGCATCAAAATCTGACATGATATGGAATTTTTTAACTAAGATTTCTTAGCAGTAAACAAACTGTCATATCATTATATTATGTTCTGATGGTGTTAATTTTTTGTTGAAAGCTTGGGCAGTATTTTCCAACCAAAGATTTAACGATAGTTGGTTAATACATAACAATTTTCTATTGATCCATCCATTGCAAAAACTTTATGTATGAAAACATGTTTAAAGTTTTCAACTCTTGTTCCTCCTTTCATTTAACATGGAATCACAGCAAAATGTACTCTAAACAAGTTTATTTATTTATTTTTAATCATGACAGTAAAATGGTCTTGAATATCTTTCGTTGAGGGGATGGGATGAGTGAAAATCATGATATAGTTGATATAAAGAATTTTTTTACTTAAAAAGTAAAATCAGAGGGAGAATTTGAATGTACACACAGCCACACACTTAACTTTAGGTTTTAACTTCAATAGTTTATTGTAAATTTGGAAGTACAATACAGGACGCCAATGCCCAAATTACTGGACTCTTTATTTCTTTTCTAAGCTTGGCTTAGGGACATTCCATATGCGTCCAAATTACATGATGCATCGCTAATTATACAATGTTCTTTCGCTTTCTTATGTAACTTAATAAGAAAGCAATGTTGCATCATGCAACATAATACATATTACCCCACCAATTCAACCCTTCTCCATCATGGTTTTGTTGCTCAGTTTCAGATGCAACAAACACGTCAAAACAACACCTCCCATCATCACTTCCATCCTCCTCCTCTGATTGAACTCTTTCAATAGGAGCCACACATCCACCGTAGTTGTCAGCTGGAAAGTACGAGTCAACACTGTCAATAACAACACGAGGACTACCCTCGTCCACCACCGCACTTCCAACACTTCCAGAACTCACGTGTTCATCCAACTTCATGCCAAAAATCTGAGCTATATCCTCCGGAAGTGGATCAACTTTCTTTTCTGACAAAGGCTCTTCAAGCATATCTTTAGCTTGAACTTGAAACTTCTCATTTAAGGAAACCACCTGAGAAAGAAATAGTCAACATGTTTGTTATTACTTAGTAAGATAATCCAAACTTCAACTTCCACTTGTTAACTATTTTATGGTCCAACTTACATACATTCTTTTAAAAAAACTCATCCGTCTTTATCACAAAATGAAGTCTTAAGCATATAAAAAAGTATATTCGAATAGTTACTTTGAAAAGGCCTTTATTTCAAACCAGGTGGGGTTCAGAACAGATGCTAAGTTTTGATAGTATGTGATTATTATAGTGTAGAATCTTGTGTGTAGGACCTCTTTTGATAGCTCCCAATCACCTTCTATGGTAAGTGGAAATTTGCTTCTTATGATGGACTTCTGATTGTAAAGCCACTAATTCTAATTTCTATCCCATACAGAAACTCAAACTCACAACTTTTGACAGACAATTTATATTCCATTCTTTACCTTTTTTATGCAAAACTCTAATCATTGTAGAGTTCACCAAATTCTCAGTTTGCATTTTTAGCATAGCCAAATCTAACTATTAATAGTAATAAACTTTAATACGCATAAATTTTCTTATATATGATTTTAATCGTAACTACTTCTAAAGTCACAGATATGATGTCTCTGACGGTGTATAAAAATTAAACTCGACATGAGTAAAAGTACCTCAGATTTTAGTTTCTCATTCTCCTTAACAATGGAATCGTATGTTGAAAGGAGGGAATCATAGGAAGACTTGAGAACATCATAATCTCTTTCAAGCTGCTTTGTCTTCCATCTAGCCCTACGGTTCTGAAACCATACAGCCACCTGTCTAGGTTGCAACCCTAGCTTCTTGGCCAATTGAGTCTTCCTCTCTGGCTCAAGTTTGTTCTCTTCTTCAAAGCTCTTCTCCAACAGATGGACCTATTCATCAAACCACACATTTATCCACAAAAACGAATATTAATCTTATTGATGATCTGTACCACCTATGAGTTCAATTCTTTTTCAATGACTAAAATTTTTGGGTAGAAGCGAGAAAGACTCATAAAATATATTATATATTCCATAAGTTGAACTCGTTTCTACTGAAATTTTTTGATCATCGGAAATGATTTAAACTCTCCACCTAGACAAACACTAATAAATGGTTTCACAATCATTTGATTACTACAAAATCAAATTTCAATTGAAAGTCAACCCTTCCTTTTTCAGCATATTGCATTAAAAGCTAAATTCATAACATAATGAAAAGACCAATACAAATACAGATTAATTCAGGCAACCAACCAACCTGCTCGGAAGTGAGGCGGCGCTTCTTCTCCGGCGACTGTTCCTCATAATACTCCTCATCATATAGTTCATCCGGCGAGCTGAAGAAAGGTCTCCTCTTCGAGCCTTCTTCCATGCTCATCATTGACCTTCCTACTTTCATTTCATAACAAAATTCAAAAACATTAAAAACCCATCAATTTACACTCTTTTCTACATCAAATACTTCAATCAAAACATCTATATCACAAATCAAAACCCTAATTCCTAATTCATTATTTCTCACAACCCAATTCTAATACACAACAAAGTTGTTTCCTTTAGCAAAAACCCAATTCAAACCATGCTTTTTTTCTTACCAAAAAAAGCAACTTTTTTCTATTTCAAATAAAAAGGCAACATGAAAAATCAACAGATTGGAAAAAAACAGAGAAAATCACCTCGAAAACCAAGATCAGCATTCCCAAGGAAGAGCATATTCATGTTGCTGTTGTTACCACGACAAGTAGAGGTATCAAAGTAAAGACGACCAGACTCCATTTTTCAACTTCACGTTGAAGGGTATGCTAAATTCTCACTTTTTACTAGTAATTTTTCAGAACTAGAACGATTTTTTGTTTCTTCTAATTCTAATTCTAATTCAAAGTTGGTATTTTTATTGAATTATCTTTGTTGGGGTATGGATTAAAAGATCATTAACTTATGACGGAAGAAACTAGTTGTCCAGAGCAACCTCGCCGGAGTTTCTAACGGACATATGCAAGATCCCATCATGCACAGTAAGATCAAAACCACCGCTTCCGGTGGTCTTCTCTTTGCTTCAGTTTCGAACTTTGAGTGTTCGCCGGAGTTAGAGGAACGAAGGTTCACCGGAGATGGATTTTCCGGCGGGATTTTGTGGTGTGTATGTCAGTCAGCCTGAAACTGGGTGTCTTCTGTGACTAAAGTTTTCAGAGCATAGGACTGTGGGTTTTATAGTAGTTTCTTCGTTGATGAAATTACTTAATTACCCTTAAAAGTTGACTTTTTTATTTGAGTAATACTAGATTCACCAATTTACCTCGGAGATTGTATCTATTACTACTACTCTCTAGATCTGTTTTTTTGGGGGACTGACACACACTCTAAATCCCCATATTCTATTATATCTTATTTTTTCTCTTGTTCTTAAACTATTGCAAAAATTAAGATGACACGATTGAGGTGAATTAACCTTGTCAAATTTCATTAAAAGAAATCAGGTGATTTCACCTTTAAAAAAATAGATTTTTTTTTTTATAAAAATGAATTTTATAAAATGGCTTTTTAAAATATTACAAGGTTTTTTTAAATTAAAAATTTAATTTTGTCATTTTATAATATAAACATATAAAATTGAAAATAAAAATATAGTCAAAATTAATTTTAATAAAAAATTATTTAAAATATTTCAAAATTAAGTAAAATTTTGAAATTTTGATATTTAAAAGAACTTTAATAAAATGATAAAATATATAAAATAACAATTCAAACAAAAATTTTATTTGAAGCTTTTATAAAAAGTTTTTTTTTACACAAAATAATGTTGCATTATTAAAATTATTTTTAAAAAAAGTAACAAACGGATCCTAAATTTAATTTATAGTTTGTTATAGACTTATTTTTATACTTAAATTCAACCTTTTTCAAGTTCTAATTCATCGCTTAACATACTTAAAAATCTATTTTATATTGAATAGTTAATTCAAATAATATTTTAATATATTAATAAATTTAAAACCAACGATATTTAAAGTTTGTTTGAATTGATTCAATTAAACTTTTTTATTAGAATAAATTTTGTGAGACTATTTAAAAAAAATTATGATATTGTTCATAGAGTGTTTTT